GAGGAGTGGCTGGTGGGTTTGAACCACCAGCCTTCTGGTTAGCAGTCAAGTGCCTTAGCCATTTATGCTACCAGAGGGGTGGGAAATGAAATAAGATGATAGAGAAGTCAGTAAAGAGGTAAGATTGAGTTCAGGTATCAGGCTTGGTAGAGGGTCAGCAAAAAATAAAAGGAAGATCCTCAGTGAAATAGATGGACACAGTGGCTGCAACAATGGGCTCAAACATAACAATGATTGTGAGGATGGCACACACCAGGCAGTGTTTTGCTCTGCTATACATAGGGTCATTATGAGTTGGAACTGACTTGATGACACCTGAAACTACAAGCCTAGGGAAAGTATCATTAAACACACACACATGATCTAATAATCTAGTTTGTAATAAGGAATGGGAAATTTACATATTTTCCAAAATACTCAAAAACAGGAATCTGTACCACTTGCCTTCACCCTTTTAGCAGTGTGGCAGTAAGGGTAACCATAATCTGTCTGTGTTTCTCCAGGGAAGGTGAACACTCTAAACTATTACCTCGCCTGTAAAATGCAGTGATGGTGTGTGATTGTTGTAGAAGTGGTTTGGAGTATGTTATCATACGTAAAACTTTCCATTCCCAGCATTCTATGATTGTATAGTCTTGGTCACACAGTATTTCTTTAATTGAAAAGATTCTTCTGGTGAAAGTAAAATGTTTCTTCACAGTTAAGGAAGTCATAATTGGAAGAACAAACATCAGTCTGATCAATGTAACAGGATATTTAAAAGGGATCATTTTTCACTATCTTCCTGTCAGCAGAGGTTCAAAAAGTCTGAAAAACATTAATTAATTAATTAAAAGGTAAAAAGTATTTCCACATTCCAAAGTGAAGTGGTAGACATCTTGTACTGGCCCACTTTGCCAAGAAGGTAGCTCTAAAACTTATCTTGTGGCCTTTAGGCCAACCCTCACTTTTGGATATCAACAGACTAAAGAACCAGAAGGAAGGATTGTGTTGGAGGGAGCTGTAGGTGTGCATAGACCAATCAAAATGTTTAATAGAATGATACAGTGGACCAGTGTCTCATTATACTTGAAAAAAGTATACAAGCAAAAAATTGTGACTGGAGCTACCCAATTGGACAAGAAAAGAGAGGACAACAGTGAAGCAGTTGATGAGGCAAGGACATGCAAATTTCTTATGTAAGTTACCCCAGGAGGAGTTGTCCAAAAGGGAAGTCTACCAGTGTGAGGGGACTGCAATAGAGAAACACTATGAGATGCATTATCACGGTAGCAGAGTTGGGCCACTAGAGATCAGCCAAAGAGTACATCAGTCTAAAATGTGCAATATAGAAGTCCATGTGGGGTATGACCAAAGAACCCTCTACTGTGCCCCAGATAAAGAGTAAGGCAAGCCTAATGAACAGCAATGCCAGCTATTTTCTTCTCATTCCTCATCCTACCTTCAATCTTCAATGAACAGGAAGCTGTGGCTAAGGAGATAAAGGGGAAAAAGCAAGGCAGAATCAGAGAAGAAGGGTGCCAAGTACCTTATTTACATTACTACAAGCTATCCAATCCCCTTGGTAGACCACAAGCACCTCACATTTACAGTTCTACCTGTCATCTAGGAGCTCCAGTAGCATAGTGCCAAAGGCACTTGACTGCTAACCAGAAGGCTGGCGGTTCATACCCACCAGCCACTCCTTGGAAGGAAGGTTGGCCAATCTACTTCCGTAGTAATACCGCCTCAGAAACCCAAGGAGGGGTTGCTGTGAGTCGGGTCTGAATCAAAAGCACATAACAACAACAATAACACCTGTCATCTACTGGGCACTACAAAGACCATGGCTAGAAGAGCCATACTGAGTAATTCAATGCACCACAGACAGTAAGTCAAAAATATGAAACTATTTTTACTGTTCTTTAAGTAGTAGATTAAGATATCTGTGTCTACAAGAATTCCATGTTATAATGATATATCCATACTGGCAGAAGACTTCTTTTGAAAAACATTTAAAATTGGTTTAGGATGACAGTAGATTATAATCATAAAGGCAACAGAAGAAATAACTAAACTGCCTGGCATTAGAGAATAAAAGAAATGTAAGAATGGGATGTAGCAGAATAAGGAGAGTGTCTAACATTCAAAGTCAAGTTCTTTGAATTTCTGTGATATAAACACCAATCCACCTCACCAAAAGCAGGAACGAAATCTAACCCACAAATATTTTAGGAAAGAGGGAAATTTCCACAATTAGGTTGACCGTGGAGCAGAAATCAAAGACTAGAAGACACTGAATAGAAATAAAAAATTCAGTGGAGGCAAGAAAAAAGAACCAGATATGAGCTTGCAACATAATCACCGCCCCCACTTTTCTCACACACACACTCACATCCAAAAAAATTTATAGAAATTTTAAATAGTCTGATATTCCACAGAGCACAAAAGGGTGTTTGAGTCAATCTTATCTCGGTCTTGAGACTAGGAAGACACAAGTTGGCATCTGAGAACATTTACAATTACTTACTCAGACATTGATTCGTCTTTGTTGTTCTTGTACGGTAGAGAATGTTCTATGGGGGCTAAACATGTTTCTTCCTTAGAAAGTAAAGGAATCGTCCTTAGGCTTTTCTCTTGAATTTCACTTTCCATTAAGTTAGTATCTCTTTTCAGAAGGGAAATACAATTTTCAATCTGCCAATGCTTTGCCTGAGAAAAAAAGAGATCTATTTTGTTTTTATCAAATACTTATTGAATATCAACTTTGTATAGTCTGCTAATTTAAATCCCACAGATTAAAAAAAGAAAAAAACCTGAATAAGATATGGTTCCTGTGTTCCAAGAACTTCCATAGTTCAGGAAGATGAGACCTATACATCTAATTTTAATAAATGTTGAAGGTGATAAGCATCATAGGAAAGACTTAATGATTTTCAGAAGATATAATAATGTACCACAAAAATATTTTACTATTTAATTTAAAAATCTTGAATAGCAAGATACCTATTTACTGAAGAAAAAATAAGCAAATAAAACTTATATAAAAAAAGTTGGCAGAGTTAATTTTTCCTGCATTTACTTTCTTTACATCTTACCTACTAAAATTTTACGAAGCATTCATCTTTAAAAGGCAATTCAAATATTGAGTACTTTTTTCTAGAAACTATATGTTATATGATCATTTTCACATATCTTGGCTACAATTCTTAACATGCATCCATCTAACAAAAGCTCATCACTGATAGTTTTATATTTTATATACAGAACCCATTTCCTTTACTTACATCCATTCACATCAGTCACACAGGAATGCACCAGAGAATATTCTGTTGTTGTTGTTGTTGTTGTGATGTGCTGTGGAGTCAATTCCAACTCATAGTGGCCCTTTAAGACAGAGCAGAACTGTACCACCGGGTTTTCTAGGCTGAAAGCTTTACAGAGGCAGATCACCAGGTCTTTCCTCCCATGGAAAGGCTGGTTCGTTCAAACCTCTGATTTCTCAGTTAGGAGCTGAGCATTTAACCATTGTGCCACCAGGGTCCAAGAATGCGTGGTATGAACATTGGGCATCCCAAGGATAATTAACTGGCCGATAAACTGATCGGCCTTTTCAACAGAGTTTGCAAAGTAAAATGTCAACAGGGCCAGAAAGATAGCGTAAATCAGTGAATTGAGCTTCTCCTAAGATGATAAATAACAAATGAAATAAATTCAGCATCAGAGCTGAAGTGCAGTGAATGTAAATGTAATTTACATTTAATGTAAGGGGACAATCGTTATTATAAGGGAATGTCACATGTTCTTTTTCAAGAGAAGTCAGAAATCTGGGCCTTTTTATAAAATCTCTTGATGTTTAAGTATGGACAACTAAATCAAATTTTAAATAGTAGAGAAATAGGTACAAAGGCACTGGCCATTATACCAATCATATGAGGATGAGTGGGGTTGCCAAGACACAAACTCTGCTCAACACAATAGTGGTTAGTGCTTGAAGATGGCCCATATAGTGCAGTCTTCATTTAAGTTCTTTTTATCTCACAACCATCTGACAGTTTTCTGGGATAAATGAGTGCCTAAGGTATTTGACTGCTAACCAGAAGGTTGGTGGTTCAAACCTGCCAGCTGCTCCACAAAAGGAAAATGGGGCAGTCTACTCCCGTAAAGATTTGCTGCTTCGAAAGTCCAATGGGGATCGCCATGAGTAGGAATCAACTCGATGACAGTGAGTTTGGTTTGGGTTTTTTTAATGGGTGAATCAACCTCATCCCTATTCTTCTAACTCTAGAAATATACATACCACACCACTTAGTTTTAAAAATCTAACTATAAACCCAACCTAACATCAATAACTATGCTATAAAAATGCTTCACAGTTCTTTATATATATATATATATATATATATAAAACTTCTTTCATAAAATAATGGAATCACATTACATTAAATTTTAAATACTTTAATCAGATTACATGCAATTGGAAAATTAAGTCAACTTAGGAAATGAAAATATATTACTATTTCCTCTCCTTTCTCTGTTCTTTTTATAGCTGCTAGATCAGTGTTAATTTGACTATAAGTCAAATGCTTCATTCACATATGGCAAGAATGCAAAGATATACATTTGTACTAAGGTACAAATTAAATTTGTTCAATAAAACTCATTCTGGTCCTAGTTATATTTACTAATTGGACCTTTTCCCTGTTGTATCTATGTGTTTCTCTTTCCCATAACTTCCTGATCTTTCTGTAAAATGGTGTCTCATCTTACATGCCATGAGAAAGACATTCACTGTTGCTCTTTTTGGGTATCTGATAATTTATACTCTTCTGTTTCCTTTCCTACTACCTATTCTCCCTCTCACTCTCTCTCTCACATACACACACCAGTATTCAACACAGAATGGTAAAAGTGAAAGCTTTAAAAAAAAATAAATAAATCAAACAGAAGAGACTAGAACACCCAGCTGTGTCTAGATTTGCCCAGCCTTTAGTTTTTAAAACTGCCCCAGCTCTGTCTTTAAAAAGAAGGGGGAAGGTAACTACATTCATGACAGCTTTTTGGTGCTGAAGTTCCTTAAAGAGAGAGACTTTATGAAAACTAATGAAAAATATCAAAAGTATAAAAATGAACCAAAATTTCATTTTTATAAAAAGTTTACCAAACCACGTTTTTTAATTAAAATAAAATTTAGCCACAGATAGTGTTTGGTGGGCACAGTGTATATGACACCTGCACCTAGAGAAGTCTTGTTTCTTGCTTCAACATCGTGTCAGGAACTTAATTATACTCCACCTACTTGATGACACTTTGTTTCTTCACTTGTCATTCAACCCTCAACTTCATCTCACCAGCATCCTTGTAGTCTTGTGGCAATATCAGCATTGCATCAGCTTTTTCAACTGCCAGAAGCAGCCTTCTAAATCTTTTTCTGGTCAGAATGCCAGCCCTGCCTCACCCTGCCTCACCCACAGACACCTACCCACACACCATTTGATTTCCCAGTCAGCTGCTGTTTTTCCTGACAAAGTCTAGCACTTGGCTTATTTGCATAGTAGAAGTGACTGATGGAGCTTTTGAGTGTTATATCAAGACACATGCAGTGCCCAGGCAAACACAGACTCCCTACTCCGCCCCCCTTTTTTAATCTATTTGCCATCCTTTTCTATGTCCTGAAGGGCTATATAGAATTTTTTCACATAAGTTGAAATCATCAGAGGGCATCATAAATACAGCAACCACAGACCTTGTCTCCCAACACAAAGGGAAGAGTTATTATGTTCTCACAGGATGAGAGTGACACCTGAGCCAACTGAATAGAACCAAGTCCGATGTCCAGACAGAAATTGTGGCTTCAGCCTTAATCTCATACAACCATGTTTAGAACAGCCCTTGCTGAATACTGATGAGACATATTTTGTCTCCAAAAGCACAGAGGTGACAGAGGCAATGTTCCCATGAAAACAAAACAAAACAGAAATGTGAGACAATGAATATTTCTTTTCTTCAATGTGTTCCCCCAATTCCATTTCACTTCATGTAAAGAGCTCTGGTAGTGTAGTGGTTAAGGCATTTGGCTGCTAACGACAAGGTCAGTGGTTTGAACCCACCAGATGCTCTGTGGAAAAAAGATGAGGCAGTCTGCTTCTGTAAAGATTTTATTTCATTTCATGTTGTTGTTGTCATGTGCCATCGAGTCAGCCCCAACTCATAGCAACCCCTCCTTGGGTTTCCGAGGCAGTATTACTACAGAAGTAGATTGTCCAACCTTCTTTCCAAGGAGTGGCTGGTGGGTTTGAACTGCCAGCTCTCTGGTTAGCAGTAAAGTGCCTTAGGCACTATGTTACCAGAGCTCCTTTTATTTTATTTCATGTTGTTGTTGTTGTTAAGTGCCGTCGAGTCGGCCCCGACTCATAGCGACCCCTCCTTGGGTTTTCGAGGCAGTATCACTACGGAAGTAGGATTGCCCAACCTTCCTTCCGAGGAGTGGCTGGTGGGTTTGAACCGCCAGCTGTCTGGTTAGCAGGCAAGTGACTTAGCCACTATGCTACCAGAGCTAGCAGGTATAAATCAGAGCTTAGCTTCATGAGACAAAGGAGTTAAAAGCCTAAGTACCGAAGTGAGTGAGCCTGAATTAAAAGCTAAACTCTACTATTTATTAGCTTCAGTGAGCTCAGACAATTTTCCCAAACTCTCTGTGCCTCTGTTTCCTCATCTATAAAATGGGAATAATAAGAATTCCTTCCCCATATGGCAATTGTGATGATTAAATAATCCATGTAAAGATCTTAGGACACACTTCCAAGCACACAGGAAAAACTCAGCAAATGTTAGCTATTATGCATTTGCCAGGAGTAGACCAGATGGTAAGGAGGAAGGTTTATTTTTTATAAAATTTTCTATATTTGCTTATTAGCTTCTGTGTTGTTCTCTAGTGCTTCTATAACAAAAATATCACAAATGGATGGCTTTAACAAACAAGATTTTATTCTATGACAGTTTAGGAGGCTAGAAGTCTGAGTATAAAGTGCCAGTTCCAGGGGCTGTGTGAAGGTCCCTCGACGTTGGACTTCAGCTTTGTGTCCTATTCCAGGCCCACTAGAGCTGGAGGCTTTTTCTGATTCAGGCAACTTCTGGCTGCTGAGGCTGACAAACCCAAGATCAACAAGTAAATAGGCACAATCTCAAGATAGGCAAAACGGCAGGATTAGTTCAAGTACGGAAGCAATCCCAAAATCAGCAGACAACATGGCAGCCATTGAAATGAAAACTCCGCCATATGCAGGATCCAGATGTGCCAAAAGCTAGAGACCTTTCTCAATTCCAACTCCTAACAACCCTATAGAATAGAATTGAGCTGTCTTATGGGATTTCCAGGGCTGTAAATCTTTATGGAAGCAGACTGCTTCATTTTTCTCCCATGGAGTACCTGGTGTATTCACACTGTTGACCTATTGGTTAGCAGCCAAACGCTTTAACCACTGTGCCACCAGAGCTCATTTCTTGATGAAACAGCCATGGTTAATAGTACAAACAACAAGAGATACTGGGAGCTACAGGTTCAGAAATGGAAGTCAATTATTTGATGACTAATGAACATTAAACAATCAACGATATTCAAATGCATATAAACCTAAGTTCATACTAAATGTCAAGTAAATACTACAATAATAAAGAAGCAGTATTTCTACCTGACCAAAGATCCAAATAGGAGAACTACCAACATCAGTCACAGAAATATTGCAATCCACTGAGGAGGAAATGATCAGTGACTGGCCACGCAGCTCACACATCTCTAAGCAACTTATTCTGTCTTCATGAGGTTGGAATGATCTGATCAGAGTAGGGGGCTGTGTAACTTTGTCTTTGCTGGAATGAAGGCAGTACTCCTGAATGGAAAAGAAATACCAGAATTGTACAAAAAAAAAAAAAAACCTCCAATAATTAAAATAGTTGCTTTGTGCTGTGGCATAACACTTTTGTTGTAGAGTCTAGTAAGGAAATAAAAAAGCTTTTACCCAATTTCACTGACTTGATCGTGAAAAGGAAGGGGAGAGGGAAAATGAGAAAAGGAAGGGGAGACGGAGAATGAAAAATGAAAATATAATACATCTTTTAATCACTGAGATGAACTTAACCAAAAAAAAAAAAAACTAAACACACTGCCATAGAGTCAGATCTGACTCATAGTGACCCCTCCCTGGGTTTCCCAGGCAGTATCACTATGGAAATCAATTGGCCAACCTTCCTTCTGAGGAGTGGCTGGTGTGTTTGAAGCACCAGCCTTCTGGTTAGCAGTTAAATGTCTTAGGCACTATGCCACCAGAGCTCCAGTTTCTGTTGACTCAATTCTGATTCATAGTAACCCTATGGGACAGAATAGAACTGCCCCATAGGGCAAAATTACAAGGCTATAATCTCAGTTTCTGGGAGCTTTGGTGGCATAGTGCCTAAGGCATTTGACTGCTAACCAGAAGGCTGGCGGTTCAAACCCACCAACCATTCCTCGGAAGAAAGATGGGGCAATCTACTTCTGTAGTGATACTGTCTCGGAAACCCAAGGAGGGGTCGCTATGAGTCAGGTCTGACTCGACGGCACATAACAACAACAACAATTAGAAAATTAAGCTGATAATCAGTGACACAAAAATCTCCAACTCAAGATACTAATGTCAGATGAAAAGCCAGTACTCTATTAAAATTATATTCATAGTCTTATTTTCAAATAAGAGATATTTATTTATGTTTAAACTATGCTGTAGTTCCCTACTGACAATACTGCATTCCTAAATTGGGTAACTGATTTGATTATATATTAACAGATGATTTTAAATATTACAAAAAATTTGTTTTTCCTCATAAATTATTTGTGTCTCGGGTCATTACATGTGAATGTTTTCTTTAAAGTATTCAAACTAAACATTTCTTTTTATTCAGGAAACTGACACCACCTTCCTTAATTATAGTTATCTGCAACAAAATGCAATCAAAAGTAACAAAGACTAGGTAATAAATTTTTCTACTTACCTCTATATTCCATATTTTCAACCATCCATCAACATCTCCTGTGACAAGGTATCGGTTCAGTTTATCAATAGACATAATAATGGATCTAACTCCACTATGAGCCAAAAATTCAGCCAGAAGTTGCTTCTTAAATGTATCCCAGAATCGGACATAACCAGATCCTCCACAGGATACAAGGTTAGCTCCTAAGATGTAAATGAAAAATCTAATTAGAAAACGATAGCAAATACCAGAAACAGCATCCTCAGTATCTTGGCCTGAGGAAAACATACAAGCATTGAAAAGGTGGGAATATCCACGATCAATCTCAAGACTATCAGTCACTTCAATTCTCTCAAATATAGCATGGAGATAACCCTATGATAACACCACTGGATTGTGTTGAGTATTAAATGACCTTGTTGTTAGGTGCCCTCAAGTCAGTTTTAACTCATAGTGATCCTATGCACAACAAAAAAATCTCTGCCTGGTACTGCACCATCTTCACAATCTTCGCCATACTTTAGCCCATCGTTGAAGCCACTGTGTCAATCCATCTCATTGAGGGTCTTCCCCTTTTTCACTGACCCTCCACTTTACCTATCTTGATACCCTCCTCCAGGGAATGGTCCCATCTGACAACATGACCAAAGTATGAGAGACAAGGTTTCCCCACTCCTGCTTCTAAGGAACATTCCAGCTGTTCTTCCTCCAAGAAAGATTTGTTCATTCTTCTAGCAGTCCATGGTATTTTTAATATTCTTCACCAACACTGTGGAAGGCTGAATTCAAAGATGGAAGGGGTCCCTCACTGAAAACTGTAAAATTTTCACAGGCTAGGAGGGATGATTAAAGTAGATATTCATTATAAGGACTAACTTGCTATTTTTCCCTCCCTTTTGCTTCCTTTGAGGTAAATAGAATAGCCAGTCCTTTTCATGGACAATGGGTTCTTTAGATTTGCTATTTTCAATTATGTATTTTTTTAAGCCTAAACCTCTCCCACGACTGGTTTTGGCTGAGAACCATAGTCCATGGAGCAAGACGACCCTGAGAAGAGGAATGCTGAGTCTGGAGTAACCAGAGAAGAACAAAGACATTCCTGGTTGTCCAAGAGCTCTTCAACCTCCTTCCCTATACAATCCTGTTTACCCCTTTGATGCGGGAGACAGATATTTTAGAGAAGTGATTCTCTCTGTCTCCTTGGGTATTGATACTCAATAAACATTTTGCTTTCCCTCTTCAACCTGTTGTGATCATTGGCTCTTTGCAACAGGAGGTAAGAACCATGTTTTCCTACACAATTTTTTCCACCACAATTAAAATGTATCAGTTCTTCTGTGGTCTTCCTTATTCACTGTCTAGCTCTCACATGTATATGAGGCTTTTGAAAATACTATCGCTTGGGTCAGGCTCATCTTAGTCTTCAAAAACACATCTTCCCTTTTAAACACATTAAAGAGGCTGTTTGCACCAGATATGCCCAATGCCATATGTTGTTTTATTTCATGACTGCTGTTTCCATGGGTGTTGATTATGGACTCAGGTAAAATGAAATCCTTGACTACTTCAATCTTTTCTCCATTTATCATGATATTGCGTAGGAAATGCAAACTGTTTCATTGAATTTAATTTCCTTCCTTTTCCTTCATTCATTATTCAGATATTATTTTATTTTAAAGATAGATAGCATCCATTTGTTTCTTCAAATAAACTTATATAAAACATTAATTTCAACAATCTGATAATATGCCAGTTACATAAAACCTACCTTCTTTAATAACCTATTTGATGCGAATGCCAAAGAAGTGAAAACCTCTTGCATACGTTTATATACATGCATGTAGTTATAATAGCATAGCTAATAATTTTTATTTCTCTATATAGCAGCATGATTAGAGTTCAATTTGCAAGCTTCTTTTTCAATTTTTTATCAAAAAATTGTAAGTGTTATATAACTCTTTTCCACCCCCAAAGGCCTAGAACTGACCTTTTCATTCTCAATTTGTATATGCTTTGTAGAGCATTATCTAAATTGTTCTGTGGGAAAGTTCCTATTATTATTTGATAAATCTGCAGATGACTTCCCATTTGCTTCACAAATGTACTACTTATTAACAATCACATCTATTTAAGGTAGAAATAATGGCCTATAGCTGCTTCACTGGAAACAATTTGGGAATACTGATAACATTAAGAATTAATGTTGAGAAAATGAGTGCAATTTCACAATCATAATTTATATTGTGAGAACAAGTGAGTTCCAGAAAAAAGAAAATTTTAAAATCTAACTATTTCAAAGTCCATCTAAATCTGCCACAATATTTCTAAAGCTCTATAGTGGTGCATACATTTATTGGTTCTTCATGTTGAAAACTTTTATGTGAAAATAATGCATATTTTCCATCTGCAAAATAGATATGTGAGAGTAACTGTAGAAAACACATTTTAGATTTTTTTTTCAAACATAACACACATACATGACTAGATTCCAGATTTTAAATAAAAGGCTTCTCAAATACAATTATTTTAGATGGAAGGTAAAGAAAATATATGTGCATTATTCTCAAAAAGTGCATTTGTACTTTGCAGAGATGCAGACTGAATCATCACAATTCTAAGATAGTCATTGAAAACAGTGAATAATGAGTGACAGCTTATTTTATTCATATAATATAATATATTATATAAATTTATATAATATATAATATATAATAATTACAGTAAATCATACAGCGGCTTTAATGTTAGCATGTGTCTCAGCAGAAGATCTAACCAGAAGCCTGACTTTCTTTGGAAATACACACACACACACACAAATATCAAGACAGAGGGAGACAACTCTTGTCCTGGAATCAGCAGCTATCTCAAATTATGCTGTGGCCCCATCCCTAAACTCCCCATTCTTTTCTCTCAGCCCATTTGATACTATACTTTTACTATCAATCTCAGTCTCTCCTCTTCTGCCTTGCGTATAGGAATACATTTCTCACTGTGCCCCCTGCCTCACTGAACACTCTTTATGACATGGCAGAACATTTGCTCCAATTTCTGCCTACGTGAATAGTTTGCCAGATATGTGGTGCAATGGTTAAGCACTCAGCTTCTAACCACCATGTGGGGGTATTGAACCCACCAATCTCTATACAGGAGAAAGATTAAGGCATTCTGCTTCCATAAAGATTTACAGCCTTGAAACCCTATGGGGCAGTTCTACCCTGTCCTATAGTGTCACTATAAGTCAGAATCAACTCAGTGGCAATGGGTTTGTTTTGGGGGGTGTTTATTGTTGCTGTTGTTTAATCCTTATATATGCAGTACTGTGCAAACTGGTAGCAGAATTTAGTCTGACTACTTATCCTAATCCCTCCCTCCTCAACTCTACCTTCTGGCCTTTGGCCTCCTAGACCTAACACTAACTATTAGGTAGAAGTGTCAAACTCTACAAGGCCTTGTTAGTTGTTGTTGTTGTTATGTGCCGTCGAGTCGGCCCCGACTCATAGCGACCCCTCCTTGGGTTTCCGAGGCAGTATCACTACGGAAGTAGGATTGCCCAACCTTCCTTCCGAGGAGTGGCTGGTGGGTTTGAACCGCCAGCCTTCTGGTGAGCAGTCAAGTGCTTTAGCCACTATGCTACCAGAGCTCCCAACAAGGCCTACAAGGCCTAGATAGGAATATTGAACTTTTTTTATTGTTCCCTTTTCTAACATTTTACAAAATATCAAAGAAGTCTCCAATCAAAATATAAATATATATTTTACCTGTTGCTGCAATGTTTTTTCTTGCTTCAAGGAAGCAAAGCCTCATAACAGCATTATTGCCCTCAGTGTCAATCTCAGAGGAGTAGTCTCCCAGGGTGGCATGGTCTGTGATTGGGGTGGTAGGGCAGCCCCTGCCAGCACTGAGAAGCTTATGAGGCTCTGTATCTGTGAGGGAGACAAAACCAGATGTCTAGTGAGGAGAAATGTCTGCTTTTCAAACTATTGTCTGTTAAAAACAGCAAGTCTGCCTTCATCACTGTCTTGGATGACTCCATCAAGTTTCATAATAGATTTCCAATCAACAACATCCATCAAACCTCTATGGTATTTTGTTCACTTCCTCAACTATAATCTGAAGGATTGTTTGATTTCATTTTCATTTTGTATATTCCATTCACACATTTTCCCTTGATATGATTTAATAGGAACTTCATTTTGTAGTCACAGATATGCTCAAGACAAATGTGATTCTAATATCATGACATTTTCAGCTAATAAGCTGAAAATGGCATTAATATTAATCCTAAAAATCTATTAATGAACATGAGGAATAATGACAATTTAAATATATTAAAATGATAATTTTTTAGCAATGCTATTTATTAGTGAGTTTCCCTGGAGAGAGCATTACTAACTGTACTTCAATTATCTATTGATATCATCTCCAGGTCACACTAATGAACACCAGGGAGAATCATCTCAGAGTCCGTGTTTGGCATTTACGTAACTATGACAACAATTTATAAAGAAGTATTTTCAAAATTTCAAAGCAAGAAATCTATAGTAATGACTTCTTGCATGTTTTAGAAATGTAATATTTTCTACTTTTCCCTCTTATCTATTTTCTGTGTATTTAGTGCTAGCACAATTCGGTTTGATTTAAGAGCAAGATGGTGCTCTCCTAAAGGCCAATGTAAAGGAAGACGTAGAATTCCACCCTATCTTTGGAAGACATGTTGTTGTCAAGTTGATTGATGACCCCATGTAACACCATGCTATGGAAGATTTAGATGAACGGTAGACTCTTGTTCAGAAACCAGTTTTGTGAACGTACTTTTGCGTCTGCAGCCAAGTAATCCCTAAATCTCTGAAGCTGGTTTTCTTACTCTTAACATATTACTTCCCAAGCTTTCCAGAGGAAAGTGTATCTGAGGATCAGTCTTTTCCTATGGTCTAATTCAGCCTCTGTGAATTTATGCAATTGAGACAACAGAATCTCACTGGACCATGAGGAATGACATATTCATTACCCAAATAAATTAGTCTAGCAGAAAATCTATCTGAAACGAAAAATGTGAAAGGCAGTTGTCAAGACATTTTGCTTAAGTATAAAATATTCATGTGCTCTGATAAACTCCCATAAAAAATAATATACTTCCATTTAATGTTCCTCACAGGTTTCTAAAGTAAGGAATAATTTAAGATATCCAGGTGGCATAATACTTAATACAAGCTGTAGATTGAGGCTGAGCAGCCTATTAAGTGAGTATGTGTTCCCATTTTCTTACCAAGGGGTAGCCAAGTTCAGTCAAAGGCAATTTGGCAAGGTTTGTTGGCAAAAACTAAACTGGATAAAAATGAAAGTCCTGCTCCCTGCTGTCAAAAATTCAGAAATGCTGATGTGACATAAAGAGAAGAAACGACACGCCATGGAGAATTTGCTAAGCCAAGTAAATCTCAAGATTCGATTTAGTCACTTTGACAAGACAACGATATCACTAATCCCTTGTGCTTATTGCCAATCATCTATAATTTAGAAGCAAACTGCATCATGTATATGCATAAACAACAAGACCTGACTTAGCCATATTATTACAGCTTCAAACTTATACTCACCCAATTTTGATTTTAGCTGCTTCTGGTAATCAGGGTGAAAGACATGGTAAGCATTTTCTGTGCTATTGTTCCACAGAACAATTTCTCCATCATAACTTCCTATGTGAACCAGCATGGAAAAGATAAATTGCCAGGAAATTAGAGAGAAAATATAAGCAACAGCAATTAGAGGTAGTTATTTTCTCTATACATTTTTGGAGACATGAATGAATAGCTGATGTTTTTATTAAAGTCCACATCTTAAAATGGCTTTCACCAACAATATCTCATTTAATCCTTACAATATACCTGCCCAGTTAATGTAGTAGAAATAACCATTATATTGTTTTATTTTATAGTAAGCATTCAGAGTAGGGCTTTGGCTTTAAACAACTTGAGTTTGAGTCCTGGTTCTGCCATCTGCAAGCTGTATAGCCTTGGGCAAGTTATTTAACTCTGCTTGATGCCTCAATTTCTTTATCTATGAAACTGAATTAAAAACTGTATTCATCTGATAGAGTTTCTGTGAGGACTGAAAGAGTAGTGCCTAGCATAGTATAAGTACTAAAGTGTTAATGATTATTATTAACATTACTTTTTATTATAGAGTAAGGACAAGCAAATCAAGTCCTCCTAGTTTTAACCAAAGATTCCTGATTCCCACATCTCTTTGTGTATGTATGTGTGTGAGACAGAGTGTGTGGCTATGTGTGTGTGTTCTTCTCATTATCTCCCACCTACATTCTTTATTCAATATTGTTTTCTCCAATCCTAAAATTTTCCTTGCAGAAAGTCCTTCCCTACTACCTCCCACAGAGACATGGAGAGAAGTCAAAAGATGAGGCTAAGCCTGGCCAAGCCTGTTCTGGGAAGAAACAATGAATGTCCAGACTGCTGTTCAGTAAAACAGCTCCCTACTGAGTACCGAAAGAAACAAACAAATAAACAAACTCACTGCCACCAAGTCGATTCAGACTCATAGAGACTTCCTTTGGGTTTCCAAAGTGGTAAATCTTTATGGAAATATATTGCCCAGTCTTCTTTCTGTGGAGAAGCTGGTGGGTTTTAACTGCCAACCTTCTAGTTAGCAGTCAAATGCCTTAGGCACTATGCCACCAGAGCTCCTTCTCTACTGAGTAGAGTATCCATATTACTTAGAGAACAGAAGAGAAGAGCTGAGCTTGGGTGTGGTGCACAGATGATATCTCTCTTAGGATTTAAAGAGAAAAACTCTGTAGCCTTGTGGAGTGCCTTGAAAAAATCAACCCACATAACTCAGACTGGCCAAGAGGATAGATTTTATTTGTCCAAGGTGTTATCTATCTTCTCCTGGAATTTTCTAATTGTTTCCTTGCAAGGTGACTGACCAAACATTTTCACATACAACTGATGGGATGAGAATGAATGAAGAGACATTTGATTCACCAGTTACTGACTCACCATCCAACTGGAAGGATGGATAAGATGCAATAAATTATGCAACCACAAAACTGCAATAATAATTTATGACACTTTTACAATAACAACCATGCAGTCTTACACATCACTGTTTCTAACTCATTTCATTATGTGATATTCTCTATGGGAATGGACTTCCTATGTAGGTACTTACCAAACCAAACTCATTGCCTTGAAGTCGATTCTGACTTACAGGGGTGCCAATTGGTTTTTCAAGGCTGTAAATCTTTACAGAAGTAGATCACCCCATCTTCCTTCCATAGAATAGCTGATGGGTTTGAACTGCTGACCTTTTCGTTAGCAGCCAAATGCCTTATCCACTATGCCACCAGAGCTCCTTATAAAGGTGCTTATAGAGGTATAAAAGCAAACTTGACTGCAGAATTGGCCCTATCAGAAGGTAGTTAAGTAAGACCTGAAGGTAGTGCAATTTTAAAGGTACATAGATCAATAAATCTTATATTGTATCAATTCATAGCCCATCAATATTCTTGCACTTTTCCTGTAATTATTCATTACTCTTAATTGGACATTTTTGGTCCCATTAAAAAAATAGGCTGTCAGAATATGAATTTGATAATTTCATGGTATAATCTGTCTTTATAAATGTATAAATTGCTTTCTTTGACTGGAAATGATAAAAAACAATCTCTTATCCTCTTTAATATGTCACATAAAAGCATGTCTGTAGACCCTTTCAAGAGCTTGTGCTTGTAGACATTTTCTTATCAAGTCTTTAACATTAAATCAAAACCAGACCTGTTGCTGTGGAGTCGATTCCAACTCACAGCAAGTCTATGAGCCATAGTAGAAAAACCCACAGGGTTTCCAAGGCTGTCAGTTTTACAGAAGCAGACTGCAATATCTTTTTCCTGCAAAGCAGTTGGTGGGTTCAATCTGCTGACCTTTTGGTTAGCAGACATGCACTTAACCACTGTATCACCAGAGCTCCTTACTAACCAACATTTCCTGGGCTAAATTGTGCCGAAGATTTAATACATTACAAGACATCTTGAATGCCACAGAAGTGTGATTACTTCACAACAGTCCTAATGGTGATTCTGAAGAAATAGACAGTAAAAATGAAAGTTAACATTTACCTGATGAGCTTACTGTATGTCAATCTCTGTGAAGATTTTACACAGATGATCTTACATAGCTTCATTATAAACCAAAATACAGATATATCATAATTAGCCAAAGGAAACTATGATTTACAGTTGAAATAACTTGTTCAATATCATGCAGTGGCAATTGGTGGACCCAGGATCTGAATCAGGTGGTCAGGCTCTGACACTAATGGTCTAACCACTGATGCATCCTCATGGAAATTAGGACCACCAGTAGCTTTAAGTGCAAGACATGTTTCTTCAAGAAACCTATTCATTTTGCAGATGACAAAGGCTCTTTTGTGTGTTTGTTTGCTTATTTTTGAGTGAGTACAAATTTTCAGCACTGATTATCAAGTGACTGTTCAACTGACCTGTAGCCAGAGTTTGTGGAGGTAAAAATGCAGCACATAATATGTCATCACCATGCTGTACTCCTCCTTTCCATTCTTCAGGCTGGATGAAAAATTGATTGAAGTTCTGGGGTCGAAACACAGTAATAGTCCTAGTAAAAAGGACATAGGACTTACTGTTGTTTCAAGACTGATACAGATATTGAGTAGTTCTCATCCACTTGGATGGTGTGATTTGAGAGGCCTAAAAGAGAAAATATTTTATCCCTACCTGTCACCCATAGTACCTGATATTCCCACAATGAATTTCTTTTGCATTCTTTCATTGAATTTTCTGGTAAATTATGAATACTTAACATCAGAATGTTAAACACCTTTTCAAAACCATTAACATCAAACACATATTAATTTGTAAGATTAATTATCTATTGCAAAAACTCTAAAGCTACATTCCTTTATATGGGTACCAGGAAAGCACTAAGAGATTTTTTATTTCAAAATTAGTGTTTTCATGAACAAATAATGTTTGATAGCTTAAACAAAGTTAATAAGGTTTCTTTTCATCAGAGCATCTCAGGACATTTGATATATAATGTTCCTTGTAGCATGTCCCAGTCGTTCTTGACCAGAGTCCTTTCTCAAGCAGCATCTTGCATATCATATCATTTGTTGGAACACACTTGGAACATGATGCTCCAAAGGAGTGGGACACAGGATGGATACATTTTGATCAGAAAAAATGTTTTTAAAAGATCAGTATCTTGGGAAACTGAGGGTGAGCTTGGTGACAGGACAGGATGGGCAGAAAATGAAATGCCTGGGGGCATCACAACCACCCTGTTTTCCCTATGATTTGAGCTCTGGCTACCAGCCTACGCTAAGCCTCTCCCTCCTTCTCCAATGAGCCACTTGTAACTACAAGCTTGGTATCTTCACCCTCATTCTCTCTTCACTCACTCCAATTTTGCTTCTGTGCTCACCCTTTTAAAGATCTCTACCAAGCTACCTAAGGCACTTGACTGCTAACCAGAAGGCTGGAGGTTCAAATCCACCAGCCACTCCTCAGAAGGAAGATGGGGCAATCTACTTCCATAGTGATACTGCCTCAGAAACCCAAGGAGGGGTCGCTATGGATCGGGTCCGACTCGACAGCACATAATATCAACAACCAAGCTACCTTTCTAACCTCTGATGGGACTCGCTCTTCCTCCTTGAAACTGTTTTTCTGTTTCATAGTATTCTGGTTCACTTCCTGCCTCTCTGATCTCTCATTCCCTATTCTCTATCTTCCCTGCTTCTTCTTTCTCTCATACCTTTTGACATGGATATTTCTTATTGTTATTCCTCCACTTCTCTCTGTTTACTCAAAGTGATTCACTTGGAGAACCCATATGTGGCCATGAGTTCCAATCTGACTTTTGTGTAAATAGCTCTGAATTTATCTTCATCTACAAACTTTTCAAGTGGATAATTTCACTTGACAGTGGACAGTTCCACGTAAGGCTTCTATCAGCAACAGATCTTAACATGTGAAAAATCCAGATTTTCCATCTTCTGTCCATATCAGACCTCCATTCTGAATTCCATAATTTGATTAATTGACCAATGTTCTAGCCTCCTAGTTGTCTTTCTGTGTGCCAGTCAAATAAAATACTGCCTCTGCAATATGTCACACATTTGCTGCTTCCTTATTTTAAACAGCTAGCACTTACTTCCCAGTTTGGTGGTTACTACCTGGTGATAGAACAACAGTAGCACCCTCCTAACCAATTTCATTGCATCCTGTCTACCCTCCTCATGAACATCTTTCATCCTATACTAGATTAATCATTCTATTCTTGAGTTCTGACCATGCATTCATGTCATAAGCATCTTGTTTTCCATGCAGAAGTCCCTGCTCCTGGTGCTGCAACACATAGAGACATGAGCATGAAATGACAAAGATATGAGGGAAAAAGTAGTAAATACCAAGAAAGCACTAATAGATTGCTATAAAAATCCAGATGTAGAAATCATAGGAGACTAAGTAGAAGGGGTAATATTTGAGCTGTACTATAAAGGATGAGTACAATTTGGAAGAGAACAACTCTCTAGATGGAGGAAACAGCATGATCAAAGATAAAGTCAATGCCCTATTCTAAAAAAAAAAAAAAAAAAACACGATTTTTCCATTTCCTACCTGATAAGAGTCAAATGTTCAGGCTTGTTTTCTAATATTGAATAACATATGGGTCCAATATTAGATCTAAAAACAAACTCACTGCCATCAAGTCGATTCTGACTCATAAGCAACCCACATTGGGTTTCTGAGGTGGTAAATCTTTTATGGAAATAGATTGCCCAATCTTCCTTCCATGGAGTGGCTGGTGGGTTTGAATCACCAATCTTCTGATTAGCAGTCAAATGCCTTAGGCACTGTGAAATATTTGACATGGGGTATTTAAAGCCACCAAGTAAATATAATGTACCATCCTACATGTTAATTTTATTCAAAAAGTTTTGGGAAAATATTTCATATTAAAAATAAGGAAAGATGAATTAATACAATTGGATAAAATACTCACCTAAATTTTAAAGATAAAATAAAAGGTTTAAAATGAAGGATTTGCTTGCAGGACCTATTTTGAGATGCTGGAGGTACTCAGAAGCTGTTTCAGAAGCACACTTTCTTTTGCAACACAAACAATATTTTTATTGTACTCTCTAAACATCCTAACATTTCTAGGCACTTTTTTTTCCCCCACTCACAGTGAGCTCCTCCATCACTCTATGAATTTCTTTACATGCTGTAAAAATGTCATAGGAGTGGCGTCTGACCTCCTCTAAGTTCACAAGTGGGAAGAAGAATCAACATCAACAGCCCAAGGCTGATTTCTATGAGGCAGAGGTCAGACATGCCTCCTCCATCCTACAACTTTTTTATCAATTCTGACACCAGCCATTCTTCCCACAGCATTCTCTACTTCTCTGCTGGTTTCAATAATCAGTTGCAATGACTCATTGATTACTGATTTATTAGGTAAGTAACATGTTACAATTCAGGATCAAGAACACTCAGGAGGAGAGGCGGGACAAGATGGCGGACTAGGCAGAAGGATTGCACAGACCCTCTTCAACAAAGAAAAGGGAAACCAAT